GCTCCTGGCAGAGAAAACTCAAGTTAGGAGAGGAAAGTGTTCTCTCTTCCTCTCTGTCTGTCTGACTATAGGCTCTTTGTCTAGGGGTCTATATAGTCACATGGGGCCCTCCATAGGGGCTAGGTAGTTACATTTAGCATGTCTGGAACAACATGTCTGGGACATTGTGTTTGGGGCATACCTGGCCCTTGGTAGTTACATTTAGCTGGTCTGGGACATCTGTCTGGGCCCTTGGTAGTTACACTTAGGGGGCCTAGGTAGTTACATTTAGCATGTCTGGGACATCTGTCTGGAACATGTTTGGCCCTTAGTAGTCACATTTAGTGGGGCTAGGTATTAGAGGGGCTAGGTGGTTATATTTAGCATGTCTGGGACATCTGTCTGGGACATGTCTGGAACAACATGTCTGAGTTGCAAATGAATGGCTATAATCCCTCTTGTTCCCAGGCCTAGGAAATGGGGACCCCTTGCCCACCCTCCAGCTTGCTGGTTCTGCTGCTTGGTGCCACCGCACCAACACTGCCAAGGAGGAGGCAGCTGGTCTGTGCCCCCCAGCTTCACGAGCTGGCTGGAATACCACTTGTCCTGTATCAGCTCTAGCTCAGCTTGTCTCCAACTCATGAGCTCAAGCAATCCACCTGCCTCGCCCTTGCAGAGTGCTGGGATTACAGGCATGAGCCACTGTGCCAGGCCCCTCTAGCAATTTTTAGTGTGGATCTTTCAGGATTTTCTTTTCCCTTTTTTTTTTTTTTTGAGACAGTGTCTTATTCTGTTACCCAGGCTAAAGTGCCATGGCATCAGCCTTGCTCACAGCAACTCAAACTCTCAGGCTGAAGTAATCCTCCTGTCTCAGCCTCCTGAGTAGCTGGGAATACAAGTGCTTGCCACGACGTCCAGGTAATTTTTTTTATTATTTATTTTTGAGATAGTGTCTCAATTTGTTGTCCTGGGTGCTGTGCTGTGGCGTCATCATAGGTCATAGCAACCCCAAACTCTTGGGCTTGAGCAATCCTCTTGCCTCAGCCTCCCAAGTAGCTGGGACTACAGGCCTGACTAGTTTTTTTGGTTTTAGTAGAGATAGGGTCTTACTCCTGATCTGGCTGGTCTTAAACTCCTGAGCTCAAGCAATCCACCTGTCTCAGCCTCCCAAAGTGTTAGGAACATAGGCATGAGCCACCAGTCATTTTTAGGATTTTTTTTTTTTTTTTTTTTTTTGAAAAAGAGCCTCAAGCTGTCCCCCTGGGCAGAGTGCCGTGGCATTACAGCTCACAGCAACCTCCAACTCCTGGGCTCAAGCGAGTCTCCTGCCTCCGCCTCTCAAGTAGCTGGGACCACAGGCGCCCGCCACAACGCCCGGCTATTTTTTGGTTGCAGCCATCATCGTTGTTTGGCGGGTCCGGGCTGGGGATTCGAACCCGACACCTTAGGTGTACGTGGCTGGCGCCTTAGCCGGTTGAGCTATAGGCGCCGAGCCCATTTTTAGGATTTTTTAAACACAAGTAAGTCCCTCAGACTCTTGGGCTGCCATAACAAAATACCACAGACTGAGTGGCTTAAACAATAGAAATGTATTGCCTCACAATTTTAGAGGCTAAAAAGTACAAATCAAGGTGTCAATATGTTACTAGATGAAGAGGGTCCAGCCACCTGTTGCTGTCAGCCAACGTGCAGAGATGGGGATAGGTCCACCAAATTTGTCAGAAGGCTGGGTTTCTGGAGAATAGTGAGCATAGCCCTTCCAAGACTGTTCTATCATTTCCAAAATCAGTTTTATACATAAAAGTTTAAAGCAAAGGCCACATTAACTCTTATTTTAAATACTAATCAGCATGACTCAGCAACCTATTGCAACATTCTAATTCAAAAATTAATCTCCTAAATTAATCTACCTAAACTACACAGGAGCGGCATCTATAGGGTGGGAGCTAAATTTACAAAATAGTAAGAATGGGAGATGGGGGTAAAGTCAGGCAGGAACAAAACTGACCAGATCAGTTGTGTCTTAGTCTCACTACATGTGCTTTCAAACATAGCTGGTTGTTTCTGAGTGCTGGAGGGAAAGGATCTATTTAAGATCTTTCTCCTTGGCTTGTAGAAAACTGTTTTTCCTATGTCTCTTCACATTGTATTCCTTCTAAGTGTATCTTTGGGTTCATTTTCCCCCTATTTATTTTATTATTTTTTTTAGAGACAGTTTATCTTTATTGCTCTCAGTAGAGTGCTATAGCATTCACAGCTCACAGCAACCTCCAGCTCCTGGGCTTAGGAAATTCTCTTGCCTCAATCTCCCGAATAGCTAGGACTACAGGTGCCCGCCACTACGCCCTGCTATTTTTTGTTGCAGTTTGGCCAGAGCCGGGTTTGAACCCACCACCCTCAGTATATGGGGCTGGCACCCTACCCACTGAGCCACAGGTGCTGCCCAATTTCCCCCTACTTAATAAGGACACCAGTCATATTGGATTAGAGCCCATCCCAAATTAGCTTGAAAAAAACCTATCTCCAAATAAAGTCACCTTCTGAGGTACTAAAGGTTAAGATTTCAACATATGAATTTTGGGAGGAACACAATTCAATTCATAACAAGAAGATTGAGCTGTCTATGAATAGGGATGGTTTTACTTCCTTTCCAATCTGGATTCCTTTTATTTTTCTCTTGCTAATTGGGCTGGCTAGACCTTTAGTATAATGTTGAATAGTAGTGGAAATCCTTATCTTAGAGCAGCGGTTCTCAACCTGTGGGTCGCAACCCACAGGAACCGTACTAAAGTGTTGCATGTGGCATTAGGCAGGTTGAGAACCACTGTGTTGGATGGATCACCATGTTATATGTTTTTTAATTTTGGTAGAGCACTTGGTACTATCTAAAATTATCCTGTTTACTTGTCCATCATTTATTTTATTTTATTATTATTTTTTGAGACAGAGTCTCTCTGTTGCCCTGGGTAGAGTGCCCTTGTGTTATAGCTCACAGCAACCTTAGACTCTTGGGTTTGAGCAATCCTCCTTCCTCAGCCTCCTAAGGATCTCAAATACCTGGGAGGATACAGGCTCCTGCCATGATGGAAGTTACTGTTTCTTTTTTTTTTTTTTTTTTTGAGACGGAGCCTCAAGCTATCCCCCTGGGTAGAGTGCCATGGCCTCACAGCTCACAGCAACCTCCAACTC